TTGAGCCCAGGAGTTTGAGGTTGCTGTGAGCTAGGCTGATGCCACGGCACTCACTCTAGCCCGGGCAACAGAGTGAGACTCTGCCTCAAAAAAAAAAAAGTAATTTTTTGGAGAAAATCCCTCTCCGTAAATCTGTTCTTGCTGCCTTAGTGTGTAATAAATAGTCTTGGTTTCATAGTTTTATATAAAGAAGCTTCTCCAAACCACGGAATCACAAAACAGATTATTAAAATTTTTTCACGCAACAGATTCATGTGAACCTGCTGGAGTAAAGCAAGAGCAAAGAAAGGCATTTGTGATTCAGGTACAGAAAACAAAGTTCAACTAAAACAAAGTTTGTTGATACTTCTTTTCTTCACAAATTGGATGTCACACTGCCACTTAAGAATAGCAGAATGATGTTCAATTCACTTATACTATAACTTTTGCATCATAGAAGGTAATGAGATATATCTCTTAGAGGAGAAAACTAAGGTTCAGAAAAGTAAAAATAAAATGACCCGTGTGTATCACACTAAACATTTTTTCCTATCTTAAAAAGATCCTTGATAATTCAAAATGCGTACTTCTTTCCCAGTGATGGCTTTGGATATGAGCATAAACTTTGGTTTTGTCTCATGTCCTGTGTAACTTGGGCAAGCTACTGATCTCCTCATAAAGCCTCAGATATATGTATAACACAGAGATTTTTAGTATGTTCCTGGGTTGTTTTGAGGATGAAATTAGATAACATATGTTAAATTTAAAGTATGGTGCAGGAACAAAATAAGTGCCAAAATGAATAGCTAGTAGTTATTTACTCATTATTTAAAAAATACCCATTATGTGCCAAGCATTGCTCTAGGTATTGGGGTATAGCAATGAACAAATAAGGATAACTTTTGCCTTCATAAGACTTACATTCTAATAAATTGTTAATATGATTTATAATTTACGATGTAAGGAAAAGAGAGCAATTAATTAGATTTTGTGACATACTGCAGTGACCTTATTAAAGAGCATACACCTGTAACAATTAACCACATATGTGAAATGTAACTGTGTATCTATAACCCAATATACCAAGAAAGTACTAGAAGTGAGGAGTGGGATAAGAATTTACTTATGAAATTTGTATGTTTGAAATCACTACCTGGGAAACCAGAGGTGCCACAACCTAAGGTTTTCTTTATGAGGTAAACCAGTCTGATTATAGAAAATGACAGATCTGAAAAGAAAATCTAAATTATTCCATTTAAAATAATGTAAGTATTACCTTTTAAGCATTTGAGAGTTTCTGTGCTGCATACATCTACCCTCATAGTTGACAACTGTTTTTCCTTCAATTCTATCTGATCTTCTGAGCGCTTGTATAGCAGCAGCTCTTCAATTAAGGCCTGTGACTGAACATAGACCAGAGTTACATTTCATTTACAAGATCATTGTTATTCTTATTCTACTTCTCCCCATTTAAAAAAAGAAAAAAAAAAAAAGACTAAAGCTTAACAAAACCCTGAGAGGAAAAAAACCATTCACTTTCCCTCATAGGGATATCAATGATCATTTCTCATGTCAAAACCATATTTTCAGCTATATACTTTAAAAGAGCCTTTCCCTTAAATTATTCAAAGCTAATTTATAGATACAGGGTTAAGACTGAAACAGACAAAGACCCACTTATAGCCTCTTTAAATTTTAATTACATAAACATAGTCTTCTGATACTCTAAGCAAATTCTAATTTAGAAGAGTTTCATTGGCTGGGTGCGGTGTCACATGCCTGTAATCCTA